CAGAGCCATCTTTTAAAAACGGACCGAACTAATTTGTACTCCCAATACAATAATACAAATATTTTTTAATACAATTCGAAAGGAATCTATGGTTGTCTGACATTTGTTGGGATAATTATTTGCCGCTTTCGATTGAAATTCATTTATCATCATCGAAAGTTTTCTGATGCGAACCTTACTTTATTAAATCGTTAACAAAATACATACAGTTTAATAGAGAAGAAAACGATGTACATCTAAAATTATATAAAGCATAGAAAAATTAGACAGAAAACGTTTTATATATACTTTACTTAAAGAAAAATCTTTGGATTGCGCTTTTAATTTATTTTGTCGACCATATATAAGATTGCCTTGCTGCAAGTGAGAACTTGTTTTGTTTGCTCGGCGCCGATGACTCCACTGTCAACCGCTACAATAAAAAGAGAATTGAATAGTTATGAAAAGTTATGTCTTTCAAGGCGTTAATAAAATAAATTACCTTCTTTGTAGCATTTGTTAAATAGCGCATGCGCCACTTCTACTCTGCCTGAATCGGACATCAAATCCGCAAGTCTCTTTAAAGCTACTTTCGGGTCGTATTCGCCATTCGGCTTAAGCATCTGTAATAGATGACGATATGAATTAATATTATGCCATGAAGTGTAACAATTAACAGAATTAGTGATTCTTGTATGGTGCTTGGTAGTGTATCCACGGTTAAAAGAAAAAAATCTAGTCACTTTATCTATCAGAAATATTATCTGTATAAATACGAATACGGGGTTTTATTCTAAAATAAATTCTGCCGTATTGTGTAAGTACAAATATACATACCTTACCATCCTTGATCATTACGCAATGTAAATTATCGATACTCGGATTACCTATAACGTATAAATTAAAAATTAATATATTATTAAAATTAATATATTAATAAATCGAAAATGTAATAATGCAATTATGAGATTTATAAATTTGTTTATTTGTTACAAATAAAGCGAATCTATCACTAAATCTATCACTGTGATATTGTTGCTTATTCTATGAAGTATGCAAAACTCTCGTAATCAGCTTTTCAAGAGATAGCTATAATCGTCAACGATTTATCAGGTTAATCAAAATGCTCGGTTCGTCTTTTCAGTCAACTTTGACTTTATAGAATTTAGTAGAGTTAATTAATCATCAACTACGTAATAGTCGTGACATTATTTCTTTTACCTATTTATATACTTTATATCGTAAAGTGACCGATTTACTGTCGAGGAGGCATAAAATGAATTGAACTTTTCAAATGTCCCGATAGCGCAATAAAGATATCTTCGAAATATTATGCCAGATATCTTTGATACAATACGAAAGAGCCGGCAAATCTTAATACAGTTCCCCATCGATTGTTAAATAATGAAGTGAAATTGTTATAAGCAATCATTTTATTTTTATTATGACATCATTTGATATTCTGAATTTTAATACTCACTCGATAATTCATCCATATCTTTAGAGCATCGACTGAGGTCATTTCTGAATTTTACCACTGCGGCCACTTCAAAACCGTAAGCCACCGCCTGATATCATAGAATTAATCACAAATACGTAAGAAATTGTTTTATATTCAATTAGTAATCAAATTCAATTACAAAATAGACTGATTTGCAACTCGTCCGAATTTCGTATTCGCAAGCAGTAGCGCACCTTACGTTGAACATTTATCTTTTATCTCCTTAACGGAGGAAATCACGTAAAAATAGTTAGCAAAAAGAGTCGCGAATAAGAGTGCTATTTAACCCTTTCGCTTCGAGCGCCGCTTATAAGCGGCGCGCACAGTATGTCCTGTGGGTACGAGTGCCGCTTATAAGCGGCGCGCATAATATGTCTTGTGCGTACGAGCGCCGCTTATAAGCGGCGGCCGCGCGATGTGTCGTCTGCAGTAAGAATGACAAAAGATCCGACTCACGATACGAGTGTAAAGAGTGTGATGTTGGTTTATGCGTAGATCCGTGCTTCAGAATTTATCATACTAACTTATACTACTAATCACTTTATATTAATATATTAACTTGTTTGCGGACAATAATTAATTAAAATTTAAATCTTACTAGTAACTTTTAAGTTGTAAATATTTTCATACCAAAAATGTAAATAATAATCATTATATAGTAACAAAGATTGTTTTATTTAGCAAAATTGTTACTTAAGACCTAGGAAAACGTATATAAAGCAACAACGCATATTGTGCGTATTCGCGGCGCGCGCGCCCGTACAGAGACAGTACTTCGGCGGACTGGACATCCGAAGCGAAAGGGTTAAAGATGAATTTGAATTTTATAGTCTCAGATAATTTTATGTATGTACTTGATGTGTTCCATTGCTATGTAAATCAATAATATAGAGATATTTCATGTGTGCAAGTGAGATAATAAGGCTTTAAATAACATTTTTGAGATAAAGTTAAGCTGTTAAGAAGGCAGCTCATTGATTCCATATCTAAATTGTGCTACCCCGAGTGAATTCTCACGGGTTCTCAAGGGTTTTGGGTATTTCTTCCTACTTACCACGACAGCCAGTACACCCACAATAATCAAAATCTTCATCCTATATTTTAAGTATAATGCAAGAAAGCTAAAAGCAGCGAGAGGCTTTTCGTCGTATACTGTGCAGTATCTCAGTTAACGCCGCATATTTATAGGTGACTTGGAATGACGTACATCCATTATATAATACACTTGATAACTTATCATTTTACGCACAATTTAATTTATATTGCAGCGTGGCATCAGAATTGCAAAATAAGGATAAAAATATGAAAAGACAGAATTCGCCTTTGATCACGCTTGAATCATGTTTGACAATGCTTGACGTTTATGTTTCACGTAAATGGAATATAATGTATGTAATTGATTATATATAATAATATGCAAATTAGTGCCACGTGGGATACCTATATATAAACTACAATTAAATCGAATGGCTAAATGACAGAGCACGCATGTAATTTTATAACTTGACAATTTAATTCGACAATATTGTTATTTTTCGCGACTTTTCTTACATATAGCACATTACTAACTTTGTAACAAATACACTAGGTTATTATTGAGTCTATTCTGGAATTTTCTGATATTTTAATTGCATTATTGTTACGTATTATCATGTGCTTACTTAGGTACCATATGTCACATAACGTCACTATGAATACGCGATAATGATCCAAATATTGTCGTTAAAAATGTCTCAGTGAGCACAGGTGTGCATAAATTATTGAAACATAAATGATCTCTTGAAATGAACTCTTGATGATCTCATAGAGCTGGTCTTAATTTATTATTAGAAAGTTTTACTCTTTGTTACGATTTGAACTACATTGATTTTGATTTGACTTCGCGTAGGACGTTTATCACTCACTTTGTCGAATTTTACAAAATTTTGTAATACAATAATATTTGTAATATTTACATAGAATTTGCATAGTTAGATAACACGAATTTTCAAATGTTCGACATCCAAAAATATCATGTATTTAGATAGTTACATATCACGTTAATTTTACGGCTGTAGGTTAATTATTGGAGGAAAAAGGAAAAATTTGGGGGGATTTTTATACCTTTAACTTGGGGAACAAGTGATAATGTGAACACTTGGGTGGCCAGCGCCTCCGGAGCGACGATGAAGTCAAAGAAGAGGTGAAACGCTTCCTCAACGGGTTGGCGGCGGAGTTCTACGACATTGGGATACAAAAATTGGAGCACCGTCTACAAAAATGCGTAGAAAAAGATGGCGATTATGTAGAAAAATAGAGCAAAGTTTCATCTTTCCAACGATGTAAATTTCTATGAGAATAAACAATGTTGTCTATTTGTAAAATTGATGGGAACCTTATTTCTGGATTAACCCTCGTATATATGAGTACGAGCGTGGCGCAGCAGACAGCGCACTGATCTACTGTGCTATTATAATTAGCGGTCCCGGGTTCGACCCGGTAAAAACCAAAAATTTTCGCTCGTGTCTCTCCTCGAAAAGAAGTGGCAATCTATCGAGAATATCTTTGCCATGTGAACGCCTCTCTAGAAATTTGTCGTTCAGAACAGGCGTTAAACTGTGAAGGGCCCATATGCCTGTGTATAATCAGCGTGCGCACCACAGGCATATGAGAGAGGTCACCACGCTTCTGCAAAAGAGGCACAGGACTTAGGAAGAAAGAAATATATATATTAGGTTGGTAAGAAAGTTATGTCGTTTTTCTGTTGCTCCAATTGAAATATTTATTATTTCGTTGTTCTTTGTGCAATTTGGNTATATATATATATATATATATAAGAAATTGAAATAGGCGCTCGGTATATATATATATATACCGAGCGCCTTTAATATTTCCCGCATTTCTCGACGAAAATGCGCAGGAGCAGTATTGTTCTGAAAAATCAGCTTATAGGTTTGCAAATTGCGTAGATTCAGAGAAGAAAGAGGTACGTATCCCGCAAAGAGTTCTGCGCACTGCGCATGGGCAATGAAAACTACCTCTTCCATTGTTTTTTTTGTCTTCCTGTAACACTGTTTTCAATATTCGCAACAATTGCCATCGCGAATTCGTATTAAAAAGATAAACCATGTATGTGAGCATCATTGTGGTTTTTGCTTGATTGTTTTCTCATATGGCTCTTACACGATCCTCGTCAGTGCAGCTACACATATTGCGCTATTTCGAGTCCCACGCGTAACTTCGTGTGTACACATCATAACGCATCGTAATGCTTTATATACATCATCTTACACCGAGGAAACCGGTAATTATTCATCAATTGTACATTTGTGCAATAGTCTCTTCTGGACAACTGCAACGCGTCTTTCTTGGAACGCTGCGTTTTGCGTGTCAAAACACATCTTTCTTCGTCTATTATTAACCTCATTTAATTTATCAAATCGATTGATTTATTCCTTGATGTCTGGACAATATTTTCAATAACTATGAAAAGGAAAAAAATATTAACGGACCTGCGATAAATGTTGCAAAACAAGCGTTATATAAAATGTCGAGGTAGTTGGAATGGAGGGAACTATTAACTCCTTTTTCGTCATCTTCTTTTAACACGGCTAAATTAAATTAACACTGCTAAATTGAATTAACTACCGAAGCAGATAAAGTAATTAGTTTATAGTTCCCTTAAAATTACTTTAAAATTACTTTATAATTTCTTTTAAATTACTTTAAAATTACTTTATAATTTCTTATAAAAGCATATGTAACTACAATAATTTAATTTAATAAATCACTCATTTAAATTAGAATTTTTAATTTAATAATTTTTTAGTTCATTTAATAATTTACAATTTCTCTTAAAAATTATTCATTTTTATGTCGGTAAATTTTATATTTTACATCGATAAGTTTAAAATTTTTAATTTTATATTTATTTTCAATTAATGTCACATACAACTAAAACGGTAAATTTTCTGTTGCATCACATATTTTTTTTATACCTGTTTATCTGATCCACAGAATTGTTAATAATATTATTATCGTAATCGTAACATCGTTAGTAGCTCCGATGTTAAAGAAGAGGAATGAATACCAGATTTTCGTGATAGATATATATTTCGTGTACTTTTTGACGTAATTTGTCGGATCCAAAGTACAATTCTGAATATAGGCGGGCGCTTCAAGTTGCTTCGTTCGACCAGAGAAGCTAATTATTTCTGCGTTGACGAAAAACGAGAAAACATTCCAGTCGTCCATAGAAGGATCCACGAAGAGTGATGGTTTTATGGGAAGAACATGAGCTGTAAAAACAACGGATTTTAAACCCGCGCCTTTTTCGAAAGAAAACAATTGTAAGATTGCGAGATAATCGAGTTGATATATGCGCGTATCTTACCGTTGGGTCGTATTCGTAGAGGCACTTGGTTATTTCGTACGCCAGTTGACATCCTTCCATTGTTTGCATAGCTGTAAGAAAGAAAGGAATACAACTTTTCCGTCGCTATGTATTGCTACAATAATTTATTAAATAATTATTTAGAGGATATGCAATGTTTTGAAAAAAATCCATTGTCCTGGAAGAGAAATTATTTACTTGAAAAAGAACATACCAAAATTCGAAAAATGTCATCGTTATAAGCAGTTATTTGTTCACTTATTTAAATATATTATTCATTAACGTCGCAGTATATTAAACTTCATTCACACTGTCGATCTTGCATAATGTTTAATCATCAATCAAATCGCTGAAATCAACTTTACTCACCGACTGGCCCGCAATGTATCACTGCCTGCATAACTGGATCCACCAACTTCTCGTCCAACATAAGTTCCACGATCTTTACGAACATTTCCTCCTGGATCTGGTCGTCCTTTGACATCTGCGACAAATAAATCACGAAGTGACATGGAAGTGCTTGCTAATCGCATTTGTTGGAATAAATGGCCACATTATTTGTGAAAAAATTATTCGCCCGAAATTTCGGCACGATCGGGTGTTTTCGTGACACGAAGTTACGACATTGTTTGCGACGAGATAAATAATCGCGGTAAATCATACGATAAAAGTCATTCGACTGAGACACGAATCAGTGTTTTTCTCGTTACTGTTTTAGATTATACGTTTCATATAATTTGAGATGCTCGACTTGTACGACAGAAAGTGCGAATCTCGCGAAATCGTTGTGATTGTTATCAGCTATAAAAGTCTTAAGGATCTTTACTCACGGATTTCGTCATCACCAGCAAGCACTTATAATAGCATTGCAGCTTCCGGTCGGGCACAAATTTACCTTTGTTCGCATCCTCGATCATTTCTGAGTCACAGTGCAATATTAGAGCCTTATCGCTTTATTCTCGCTTAGACGAAATCTACTAAAGCTGAATTATTCTTGTTTGATTCGGCTTGACATTTTTGCCAATAAAAGTTAACTCCGAATTCCACGAGAGAGAAAGAGAGAGAGAGAGAGAGAGAGAGAGAGAGAGAGAGAGAGAAGGTTATAAGTAAATCTTTTTTCAGTGTTGGTTGTCCAATTTTGTAATATATTTTGGTGTCATCGTAAACATTGAACGTTTGTTATGTTTAAATTTTGATTGGTCGCTAATATAATGACATAAAATTCTAATATAAAATTTTTCTTTCGCGACATTATAAGCAAAAATTCGAGCAAGCGAGTTCACCCGCAGGCCAGATTTACTACGTACTCGGATCGGTGCCCACCCTCTCGATGCAGATTTTCTTCACCGGCTCCAGAGTCTCTCTAACCTCCTCCAAGGTAAATCTTTTCTGGAAAGAAAATCGCAAAATCGAGCTAAACTCCGAGCAAGTAAGTAAGTAAGTATATCATTGATCGCTAATACTTCTCCGAAGTTAATAAAGTTAATAAAGTTAATGTCAGCAATAAGCGAAGCGAAGCTTGAAGCTAAGGACAACAAAAATATGGCTAAAAGTTAAATAAAATTTTGCTAGCTTATATAGCGAATTAATTTCAAATTTAAATTTGGCAAATTTATTTTATCAAATCTACAGTAAGAGAAAATAAATGAGTACAAAATATTCAATCAATGGTATTACTATATCATATAAGTATTAATTTATTAACTTGTAATTAATGTAAATGTATTATATTATTAATGTTATGAGTATTAATATCATATATTATATTTCTTTAGAAAGTGGTTTTCAAAAAATATATATTTTCTCATTTAAGAAAAAATGTTTCCTCAGGTGTAAAAACATGTATATCGGTATAAATAAATATATTATGAATAGCCACCGAAAATTGTTCATTTTTTAGATTTTTTCACTCATGGTAGGCAACAACTTGATTGCAAATCAATCGGATACGAGCGCGCGCTCTTCTTATCGGGAAACTTACGCTCTCGGCATCTCGAAAGAGACTTATCGCCACCACGAGCGAGACGAAGAGAACGACGTTCTTCATCCTCATGCACCGTTCACGGTTCTATTAATCCTTTCCCAATCCTTTCTTCTCTTCTTGTGTCACGTTACGGCCCCTGTTCTCGCAACTGGGCCTTCTTTTGGAATATCGTGTCGCGCGCAAACACGTCCGGCCGCTTTTATAGAGAATAAAGTGAACAGTTTTCCAGAGGGAGAACCGACAATTTCGATCTCACTTTCCGTCAAAGGTGGCACGCCTCGATACACCTAAATTACCATTCAGCCGACATAATTAGCAATATTTAGCGACACCGAGGGCCCACATTGTTACAGCCGGATATCAGGCGACGGGATCGCAAATATATTACGCAAGTCATATTACGGAATTATTAATTAAGCATTCGGCGTTGCTAGATAATATGGGGAAATCTTGAAAGAATGGAAGCCAAAAAGTAAGGAAGTTGCACTAAGCATTGTGAGTTCTCAGGGAGCAGAGAATTAAATCATTTGGTGCTGTAAATTTATTTAAAATTTGAATCAGAGAGTATCACGTGCGTTGTTTCGGTAAAGACGTAACAGATACCTGTACGGCGCATTCATCGTTGATATAACTTTCCAAATTCGAATAAAAAAAAAAATATACAGAAATTTTCAAATAAACACATTTAAACATATTTAAATATTTAGGTTTTTAATATCTAATATATATAAAAATGTATATATGCACCATCTAAATTCATAACTTTTGGCGTCTTACAATTAATTTTTCAGTTTTATTTTTATAGAAATCCGGAAACTTTTAAAAATTCTGCCAACCATATGCGCAATTATAGAACTAATAGCTTCATCAGCTTTAGAATTTTAATCAGAAAGTATCGCGCGTACGGCGCGTCCCTTGTTGAAACGCTCATTGACAATAATTTATCTTGCGTAGCGGTTTCATCATTTCGTCTTTAATAATTAATCATCGGTCACTTATACTCGGAAAAAATTTCCTATCGCGGACACGCAGTCCAAGGAACGTTAGGATTCATTCGTTTTAACTCTTTATATTTATTGAAGCATTCGGGGGGAGGGAGGAGGGAGGGGGAGGAAGGAGGGGAAAATTTTTGGAAACTGCATGTGCAATTTGTACAGGTTTTCTTGTTCACGTTCAGAGATTTACAATTCCAAACGTGGAGACGTGTGGTGTGTATGAGTGCATTGCGCGTTTGCTTCTCATTCTTAAGTGATCGCCGTGTAATCTCGTGTCGGTCTCGACGCGATCTCGCGAAATTCCACGTGATCGTGTACTTCTACGTTTAACTTTGGCTGCTAAAAAATAATTGATCGTAATTTCTCGTCCGTGCCGCGTTTTCTGCGTGCGCGATCGCAGTGTGATCGAACATTGCGTCTCCGTGCGACTATGCTCAAGGGAAGAAGAAGTGCTCCGAGTCGGTCCTGTACATGCACTTGACGAAGTTGAAAGTAGTCTCGCAATCGTCACCGGTAGGAGCTGCGAAAACGAAACAATTTCAATATTCCGTGTGTTAAAGTACAGGCAAAGAAGAGAGCCACAATATTCACGTCAAAATCCTAGAGCCGCAATAATCACTTAAAATCTATTCAGCAAATTTTTCTATCCTACTGACAATATTTTCCGCTCTAATTACTAATAATTTGTTAATTTGGTTATGCCTGCTAAATCCGAACGCTGTTTCAGCGAATATGCGGTAGCAACGACGATTTTGCTACAACAGCAAAATTATTCTTTTTCCATGTAGACTTACGTTCGGACGCGCAGACTCCAATGGATTCTTTCAAGAAACCCGCAAGATCGGCCGGCATCATCATGTCCACCTGCTTAGTCATCATCCCGTCGTCCACACGTCCATTCTTAAACTTGATTGGAAGACAGAAAAAAAAATGTATACGATTAATCGTGTCTAATTATTTTCGTCACGTTGGTATTTAAATCACATCGTTTCTCGCTTACGCTTCGCATCGTTTTCATTACGCAGAGCGTATAACATTTCAATTTTGGATCGTCCGGGTACTCGCCTTTCTGAATTCCGAGAACGACATCTGCAGAACGAAAAGTAGCAAGATTTAACGTTTGCTATTGCAATAAATTTTGTGCGTTCAACTTGACAAACAATTTTTATTGGAAAATTTCGACATTATAAGAAGGAAAGTGTTCTGTATTTTCGTGAGACTATAATTATACTGTAGTAAAATAATTACAATCAGGAAAACTATTTTTATAATATTGGGAGTACAAATTAGTTCAGTGCGTTTTCAAAAGATGCCTCTGGCTGTTATGAATGTTTCATAGTGACAGCTGATTTCGGTGGTTTCAGAGAGGTTAGACATCTGTCAATAATATTCAGTTTATATCGCTTAGAGTTTCATACAAAACCCCTGTTTTTTACTGTGTTGAATATGTCAAATTTTGTGTTAACTAAGCAGCATTTGCGGGAGGTTTTTAGTTTTCTGCTTTAATTGGAAGAAAAGTGCAGCTGAAGCGCATCGAATGCTTGTAGAAGTTTATGGTGACGATGCTCCAACTGATAAATTATGTAGGGAATGGTTTCGACGTTTCAAGAATGGTGATTTCAGCGTTGAAGACAAGCCTCGCTTTGGACAGCCAAAAAAATTCGAAGACAAAGAATTGGAGGCATTACTCGATGAAGATCCTGGCGATTCCATTACGGGCCATCGGTATAGGCTACAATTGATTCGTTTGAGCCGTGCGTTACGAGAAAAACGGTCGGAATGCGAGCAAAGACGTGACAAAGTTATTCTTCTGCATGATAACGCTCGGCCTCATGTCGCAAAAGTCGTAAAAAATTATTTGGAAACGTTCAAGTGGGATATTTTACCGCAACCACCGTATTCGCCGGACATTGCTCCTTCTGATTACTGGTTGTTCCGACGGATGCAGCACGATTTGGCAGGTCACCGGTTCACTTCTTTCGCAGAAATCGAAAATTGCCTCCTAACTTGGATGGTCTCAAAGGACGAGACATTTTTCGAGATGGAATTCGAAAATTGCCCGAGAGGTGGGAAAAAGTAGTAGCCAGCGATGGACAATACTTTGATTAATCTGTTCATTTATTTTGTTCTGAAGTAAATGCATTTTTGACCACAGAAAAACGGACCGAACTAATTTGTACTCCCAATAAATTCTGCTATACAAAGTGTCTATGATTGATGAGACATTTAGCTACATACATTTTGTGTAATATTAGTAATAACAAAAATTTTTATACATATATATCGATATTCTACTTCTTTGCTGAAAAAATAAAGAGAAATATGTATCAGCTTTGTAGGTATTCGACCAAAGTAAAGAAGATCCATTAGATATTAAGCTCAATAATGTAAACTAATAGCAGAACAACTTCGCCAAATAAATCTTCGCTTTAGCTAAAAGCCTTCACATGCGCCTATCTTTTTTATTATAGCCAAAAATTATGGCTGACATTAACAGTAATTTAAGTGGGATTAATATGTTGTACCGTGTCTTTAATAAAATTAAAAATCACTTAGATCTTTCTTTCTTTTCTTTCTTTCTCAAACTACAATCCGTGGAAATCGATATGTCGGTTAACGCGTTAACAAATTTTCTTCTTTCGATACAAAATCACAGAAATCAGTGGATATGCTATTTAGTATTATTTAATAATTTAGTAATTTTATTTTAATATTATTTAATATTTTGCCATTGAATTTTTCTCACCGTACCGAAGGAATTAAAAGCGACGCGAGTTCAGCTGAAAAAAATCCGTGATGTCGGTGAAACGCAGATATCGCGTAATACAGATTTCAGTAGCTGATCGGCGGTTAAAAATAGCGTAATGCTAAAAAGTAGTGGTCCGCGTGGGCGTTGCGCAACGTCCGGAAAACGCGAGCGGAAATTAAAGCGAAGATCGCTATAATTTCTCGACTAAGTCGCATACGCGGTTGTATATTCGCGCGACTTTACTTCAACACGTCGCCGACTACTCCTCGCTTTCCTTTCATTTTCCTTCGCCGATTTTGCAAAATAAATTGCGGGACACAGCCGACACTCACCTATATCCGCGCTTACTTTCCCTGCACACGTGTTTCGTATCGTCGCTGCGGTCTTTTGAATCTGTTCCATCGACATCACCTAAGTTGCAATCAAATCAATCATTTTAATATGATTTTGCGTACACACACACATAATCGTATATAAAAATCTGTTTACAAACTTGATCGATTCTTCTACGTTTTCGATATTTTGATCATTTGATTTGATTGATGCAACTTTCATCACTTTTTTCCGCGTAACAGTAGGGAGACCGAGTTAAATCGATCTAAGGATCATGTTGGCTTTTCGTTCAAGTATTTATTATGAAAGCAACAGTGGAAAAGGAATTGCAAAATATTCTTTTTAGAACACAAGAGAACTGCCTATATTCTAAAAGAAACGCGTTGCGGCGTTACTTAATTATTAATTATTGCTACATTACTTTTATACATTTTCCCCACTATTTTTCTCGCAACAAGCACAGAGTGAGGCGATAACTACCATCACATTGAATATCGACGAAAGATGAAACTAGGAGAATAATTAATCTAGAAAAACATATATACTACAATTAATACTTCAAATTTCAAATGTAACTTCGTTCTTTTAATAGAATCATATAGTTTCTTTAATATCGATTAATTCAACACGATACTTGGCACGATACACGATTCAACGCCTACTTGACTGGTCTTCCTTAACAAGTTACTTTCGAAAGAGCAACTCCGCTGCCCTGCTAGTATCTTCGATAGGTGCAACCGCGAGTTTCACCGTGACGATCAAAACTGGATCACGACTTACGGCGTTCGCCTGGTCCACCGCGACGAGCGCAATTACGAGAGCGCATATCAGCGCACGGCCGCACGTTTCACCGGGCATGTTTCTCTCGTTCACGCACGCACCAAGACACGGGGGTTGCAGAGTGGTGCCTCGATTCCGCCAGCGCCGAATCCCGAAAACGAGCCGCGTAAACTAGCCTGTCGTCGTCTGTTAGAGACTGCCGGCCGCCGATGGGCCGCCCACGGCTGATATACGGGGCGGCGATCTCGTTGAGAGGCTAATTTCATGAAATTTGCACAAATTCGTACTCTCGCGAGGATGCGATGAGACGGAGGGGTGGGCGAAGGGAAGCGGCAAGAACTTCCGCTATTTACATGTGCGACCCAAAGAAGGAACCGGTACTTTTGTCGCAAACCGGCAATCGGCAATTCACGATTCGCCTAATGACACAAGGCCCATATCGAAAGCATGCATTTAGCATTGATTATAACCGTCCCATTCGCGAAGCGAATCATTGTAAGCGCGACCTTCGCGAGCGCGCATCAGACGAAAGAACGGTCGGATCCAGTTTAACGCTGCAAATCTGGGCGATCGTGCGATGGAAAAAAAAATAGTTTTAGAGCGTCAAGAAATTTTATATTGTCGTGCAGGGAGCAAACGGACGGTTGGACCTCTACAAAACCGGCGGTCAGTCTTAATCATTCGAAGGGATATTTTGTCCCCTGAATGAATTATGCTTTGGCGCAACGACATATGTTACGTTGACACAATTGCTGTTGGCAAGTCGCAATTGTGTGTGTTGAATCGATTGATAACTCGTTCTAACAGATATAAAAATTTATTCGATCGTACTAAACGCCGTGCTCGATGGAATTTCGTTCGTTTGTTTGTTCAAGCAAGATTCCGTTGGTTCCAACACACGCATCGATTTATTTACATATTTCTTTACATAAAAAATATATTCCTCTCATCGATCCACATGTAAGGATATTTAAGTAAAATCAAAGAAAGAAGTGTATCTTTCTCTTTCTTATATACCTCATGTTTCACTTTAAATAATATCAAAACGTATTACGTAACAACGAGTTCCTTATTTCAGCGGGTGACGAATAACGGGCGATTAAAAGTAACTTTTAAAAGAATTTACCGAAAAACAAGTAACTTCCCTAACTTTGACTTCATTGACGAATTTGCAATTTCACCGAACTCGCCGAACTCTCAAACGCCATCCGTCGTATTCGCGGCTCGACTCGTGTTGTTCAAGTCGGGGGCGCGCCGAGAAGCGGACCCTTCGACGACTGCGGCAGCATCCTCGCGCTAATGTTGAATCCTTGTATTTCGCGGGGAGAATTGGACCGTCCGTGCTGCGGACCGACAGCCACCCTTCGCACCATGGCCATTAGTCCGGGAGCTTCTTCCCTTTACGGCANTTTTTTCCCCTGCACCCCCCCCCCCCCGGCCGCCTCGTTTTCGCCCCGCTGTGTCGTACTCGACTCTTTCACTTCGCCGCGATTAATTTCCACGAGCTCGTTACACACTCGGACATAATTCGCCCAGAGTGCCTTCCCCGTTTCGCCGGTTCGCGTCTCCCGGAGATCGGCGGAAGAGATATTAAAAACCACTGCACGCGGTACGCGAATGGATTGTGATATTTTAATAAGCGGAAAGTCAATACCCGAAGTATAAAAGCGGAAGCGTACCTTTCCGAGTTAATGAAACGTATAAACACGTTTTTCCGAGCTCTCGGTAAAGATGATTAATTAATGCCGTGTGTCGATGTAAACTGGATAATTCTGTACTCGGATATCCAGATACCTAAACTCCTAGGTACCGTCAAGGTATACGGAATTAAACAATTTGTTTGAATAAAATTACGTATTTTCTTTGTATAAATGTTTATGCCAATATGCGAATGAAAGTATGAAGAGGAAGTAACGTTTTGTCACACTCTGCGATTGAATCAGTGAAAACGTCACTAATTGAATCATTAAGACAGCATTCTACTGATAATCAGTAAATATTCACTATTTCTTCATGGAAACTCTTCCGTTTAACTCTTTTGAAAAAAACTTTTTCGTGCCTGGATTTCAACGCCGCATTCTATATTACTGGATACTCGGGTGTACCTGAAACAAATAACTAGGTAATTTGAAAAATATCCGAGTATCCTGAACTTTTGACGTCTTTGTTATTAATATTTTAGTGTTCAAATTAAGAAAAGAGAAAGAGAGACGGAAATTACATATTCCGAGGCTTTGAGGCTCAAGCGTGAAAAATGACAATATCGTCGTGAAAGCTTGAAATTTCTGGTGAAAAGATCGCATTTTAATGACTAGAACGTCGGTCTCTCTCTCTCTCTCTCTCTCTCTCTCATCGGTAAAGATCACATCGTGGCGAGACGCACGAAAAATACGGCTGGTAATAAGATACGGTTAGCGTGGATATTACCAACCGCGGTAAAAAGGCATAATTCTGCTGAATGAAATGCCAGGCAGACGTCTCATGAGAACAACGTGACCCTTCGGCGACGACGCGGCCCAATTACACGCCCTTAATTAGCAGCGTAATAACAGCGACCCGCTCGTCCTGTACGTGTATACGTACATATGTGTGTGTACATCCCTCATCGTGAAACAGCGATTCGTGTTTAAAGTGCTGCCAATAATATCTCGCCGAGCTCGCAAGTTCAACTATTTAACAACAACATGCGACACGTGTCGGGTAACCCTCCTTCTCGACATCTTCTCACCGCGATAATGTCGTGTGCGCGATTTATTAAACCGATCTCCCCGCCAAATAACGCGAAAGCGAAGTGACGCTCGGCGAGGAAAAAGAAACGCGCAGGGAAGAAAAAAGTTCGATCGGATTCATCTGACGACGAATACAAATCGACCGCGATCGAAGGAAACGGAATATCCGATTCTCACGAACCAAATTCGTTTCTTATGAAACGGATGTTTCATAAACTGGAATTTCCTGCGGCCATAACACGTCCGGTAGTCTTTTAACTATTAGGCAAAATTCAGCCAAACCGATTCTCCGCAAGGAGAAATTTACGAGCGCGCCTTTACATCCGAAGGAAGAAAGTTGCGCGGCGCACGTGATGCACCAACGCGACCGCTCGCGTTCCTTCTCTTCGAGACACGGCCGTCCGAGGTTCATTAATTAATCGTGCGACCTCAATTGCGAACTTAGTCCGCCGTCATTAAAACAACGTGTGTGTTCGGTTGCACTACATGGAGAGAAAGGGACAGGCGAGAGAACGAGAGAGAGAGAGAGAGAAAGAAGGGAGGAGGAGGGAAGGGGAGGACGAAGGGTGCGTCGGCATATTCGCGAAACGTATCACTGGTGAGCGCGCGAATTAATTATCAGCGCTTCGTCGCAACGGATCAAAGCGGGACGGCGATCGGGTGAAAGTTCCGCGAAGACATGCCGAATTAATCCTCGCGCGCACACCCGGCCCGCGTCGGCGCCGGCCTTTTGTGATGCTAATTGGCTTTCAATTAAACTCCACCCGCCGTCGTCCGATGGCGTGTTGTTAGGATCGCGGCGATTTCGGGGGATTTTCGGGCATCCCGGAAAGCGACCTTGGATCTCTCTCTTTCTCCCACCCGTTCTCTCGGAAATGCTGCTCTTTTGCTACACGATCATCCAATTTCTGCGATTGGCGAATGGGGAAAAAATCGCGAAATATTGACGTTGGAGATGAGAAAAAGTGACGGTGACGCGGTGCAATTATTCATCAACGCTCGAACGAGTGCGTCGCGTCGTTGCAGGATTCAATGATCACTGGATGACGCAATAACGGTCTTTTCCTCTCTCTCTCTCTATCTCTATCTCTGTCTCTCTTTTTCTCTTTTCCTCGCGAGTTCTCCGAACGGAAATAACTAATCAGCGATTTCGTCGACGCGAATCGTCTTCCGTGATCGATACATTTTTCCTTCGCGATTTTGCGGCCGCTCACACGCACACACGCGCGCGCGTATGAACGCAACATGCACGAGTGTACTCGCGCGCTCTTCCGGGATCTCGAAATGTTGCTCAGAGCAGCGATTAACAAATTCGGAGTAACTAGGCTGTTCCGCCGGGAAATAACATGCGTCACCATAAAACAGTGTTCGCCCGATCTCCGACGCCTGATTACACCGGTTATACAACGAGATGTATTGTGCAAAAGCGGCGTACCTCGCAATAAACAGCCATCACGGAAAACATCTCCTCGTCGACCTCATTATCGACGCTCTATTCGACCGTTCCATTACGTCGCTTCTCATCAACGATGAAAATTATTGTTGTTGATCGCAAATATTCCGATTCATTTCCGTCGAGACCGAATACTTTTATTGACTATTTAGAAAAAATATCAAATAAGAAAACTATAAAATATCATTAACATATAACATAACAAGAATGCTGATCTGGTGAGATTCACAGGTGAATTCAACGTAGCGATCGACACGTTAACGTTGATCAGATGAAAATGTTAGTGGATAATTTAAGAAAAGAAACAATTTATTTAAGAAAATAAATAATTTAAAGCTCTGTCTCTTGGAGACAGAGAGTGAGATAAGTTAATAAGGAGTTCACAGAGGCCTCTCTGTGCACGGATTTTATTAATTAAAAATTAATTGGCGCAGCGTCGCGGTAAAGGACGGGGTCACTAGAAGTCTCGTTCTGATTGCATAACACAAAATGAGTGACCACGCCCATTAAGTTGTTTTGATTTATTCTTTGATCTATAGCGAAAAAAATCGTCTACGCAAGATAAAGTGGTTCAAGGAAAATCGATCACGGACATTAAAGTAATAGTGACGTCGTCGCCTCGGGCGGTCCGCTCGATCGTCGTGTCCGCCGAGTGTTTATCTCGATACTGATTCCGTCACGGACGAATGCATACATTATCGACATAGATAATGATATCCTGCGAATGGAAACCTTGTATGGAACATGACGATACCTACTCCGCAATTAGAAACCACCGCGCTTATATAAGAAAATAACAACATTATTCCGCAGACTAATTCCGTCGGCGCTGAAACAGAATCTCGCGCTAATCGCCGGCCATTTGCATATTTTACCGTTCTCCGCATGTCATTAAA